GTCTCCTAGTCGGGGGGTCAGAGGAGCATTCTGATTTGAAGACTTATTCTAGACTTTCAGGCTATTCGTAGGTTTCCAGGTTATCTTTAGGGCTTCTAGGGCTGCCCTTCCTAGGGTTCGATCCCAGCGGCTAGAAAGATTGGTTCTTTTTCCTATTATTGGTTTTATTATGGGTTTTTTCCAAACAACATTTAGGCAATAGGGGTACTTGGGGGAAAAAATTTCCTCTGTTGTGTTGTAATTCATTATTCGTGTCGAAATATACCTTTACAAAAGAAAATGATTTTCAAATAAAGATTTAATTAAATATTCAATAAATATTCCACTTTTATGAGAAAAGTGATAGACATTAAAATCTTTAAAAATTTTTCAATGAAAATGAAGATTTTGTTGAAAGAGATTCTGATTTTGAGATAAAGTTTGATCGTTCAATCATCATAGAAATATTTTGTGAAACGGAAAAGAGATTGCACTTCTTTTCGATTGAATGAAATGTGATTTTAGACTTCAAAAAACAATTAAAACGAAAACATTCTAAAAGAGCTTTTAGCTTATTTTAAAAGGCTTTATGAATAGAAAAATGATGCTAATGGATCATGCTAATGGACGTGTTAACTCGTTTTTGTTATTTTTAACTTATTTGATCTAATACGGTTCCAATACGGTTCCAAATACGATTCTACACTACAATCATTCTAATAAAGATCTATGGTTTTCAAATATAGTTTTATTTCAATTTTCAACTTTAATAATGTAGAAAAAGAAGAAACAGGGTTTAGATTTGATTAGAGATTACGAATCTGGCATCAGATTTAAACCATTGTAATAAACTAGCACAGTTTAATAACCTTGAGAACTGTTGGAAATTAAAAGGAACGATATTAAATCTGTACATGACGCATGAATCTTACTAGGGAAAGGTCCAGGTCAAGGTGTCCATTTAATACGAGAGCCACGGGACTTTATAGAATCGACTATGCTGATTCTGAATATGATTTTACTTTTTCCAAAGGAGCTCTGTAACGCGAGATAACTGGCATCAAAGTTTGGTTCGATTTTCGGAATCCTCTTATAAGCTTTTTCTCTTTCCTTAAAGCGAGTGTTTGCGGCGCAGTGGATAGTGTGCTCGCCTTCGGAACGGTTCGCAGCTGTTTTTGCCTCGGGCTGGAGTTCGTTTCGGCGTTTCATATCTTTTTTTGAGAAAAATAATTAGAAAATTTGAATTGAATTTCACTTATTTTGTGAAATTCATTCTCAATTCCATTCCGATGTATTGAATTCCAATTATTTTGCACTAGCAGTCAGTGGAATCGTGAACAATGTTCTAGCAACAAATAAATAACATTTCGGCGAAAAGCGTTTATGTTGTTGTTCCTAAATCATTTCTAAACATTCTCCCCGCTAATCAAAATCAATTCCGAAAATCGGCCTAAAAATTTGATGCCAGATATCTCGCGTTACAGAGCTCCTTTGGAAAAGTTTCAGCATATTCAGAATCAGCATAGCTGATTCTAAGGTGTTCCGTGGCTCTCGTACTAAAAGATCACCTTGACCTCGTAGCTCTTCCCTAGTTAGAAAGTAAATTTCAGATTGAATTTCTACTGGTCAATGCTTGGAATGTCCATTGCTGGTTTCAATAGCTACGATACGTTAAATTGCATTCAAAGACACGAAAATAGAGCTGTAAACTTTCAAAAAGCATGTCAAAAATTCAAAAACGGTAGTTCTGTTAGGATCTTTGGGGAGCCATAGTAGTTTTAGCTGAAATAAAACCATCCAAAATTTCGTCACTTTAAAAAGTTCAATTGAAAATTTGAGAATTCAAAAAAATGAGTCATTGAAAGTGAAAATATTTTTAATTAAATTCTAAAAAGAAAAATCAAAGATGACTCTAAAATAAAGGAATAAATTCCTCAAAAAAAATATAAAAGAAAAAACGAAAAATCAAGTTTCTATAACTAATCCTGAGCCAAAGTGTTATTTAAAGAACTTCTGCGGGAAAAGCCTAACTAATAGGCTCTAAGCTCGAATTTGGGACAGAGCCTCAGCTTTTACAAAATTCTGGTAAATGATGTGAAAAGAAAATTTTTACAAAAATTTGAGTGCGTTTTAACACGTTGACGATAATAGACAGGGAAGCAACAAAGAATCGCATGGGACAACGTTGCTGTTTTTTTCGACAAAAAAATTTCGACCTGAAATTGTCACCTAAAAAATTAAAATTTTAATAATCAACGGTTAAATCGACATTTTCCGGGACCAAGTCGAATATAGAGTATACCTCTACTTGCTTATTTGATATCCATCATCAGCAAACATAAATATGCACTAAAAAATCAATTTTGGTACTGCCCATTCCCCATCTGGTGGGCATAAATGTCCTGAGGCGAACGAATATGTGTCAGATATCATCAGGTGACAATGTCGTTTCAATTCGAAATGGCGGAAGAGAAAAAGAGACGGAAAATAAAGCAAAATATTTTTTTAAGGAGAAAGAATTCTTCGATTTAACTTCTTTAGTTATAGCTTATTGTTAGGAAATTATTTAGGGAATTGCTTTTATTTTTTAGAAATAGAGCTTTCCTTATTGTTTTTTTTTTCATAAAGTTACAGATATTCCCTTATTTGGCTCCATTGGATATTTAAGAATCGAAATTGTCAATGAAATAGAGCTTTTTTAGCAGTTAGGGGGCACAGCCCGATTCCAGGATGGTAAAATGAATTGAGGCAAGCTTATTTACAACTTAATATACCGATATACCTTTGCATATCATAAAGCTTTTGGTGTTTATGTCAAAATATCGTAATTTCAGACTCCATCTCTAGGAACATTGTTCCAGAGCTAAGAAATGCAAAAAAAATAGCAATAAAGGTTCAGATGGGACCTGTGATGTTTGTGATTTATTTTACAAACTTTACAAATGAAGATCTCAAAATTTAATGTCTTTTTCAAAAAGTCTATAACAAACAGAGAAATGGTACAAAGCTCTCGAAAAAAGACAAAAGAATTTAATTCAGAATTGAGATTTGATTGATATTTGCAATACATGAGATACATTAAAATTCAATACAGATTTATTGTTAGTCGGATAGAGTTCATGTGCTCTAACATGGAAATTTTTGGGGATACAACAGGCACCTAGAGTTTTTCTCATGCTGATTCCCTCACTTCTTCATAACCTAAATTTGTGATAATGGGTATCAAAAAAGGAAAAAAGGAAAAAAAAAGAGAGACCAACCATGTATATAAAAAGTAAAAAGACAATGAAGATGTATTTTTTCAAAAAAGTTAAGACTTATATAGTGAAAAGTATCATATTCTAAGATTTCGATTTCAGAAAAATATCGTCATCGGATTTTGATAGCGAATAATCGTTTTTAAAATTCACTTTCAAGACTGGAAATGATGATTTTCACAATCAAGGGATTTTTCAAAGTTAAATGGGTAATTTTAGGCAAACATTAAACAAATCACTGATATTAAAGGGATATAATCGAGAAAAACGTCGTTTTTCATGGATGAAAATTTTATGAATTTTTCTTACGGATGAAACAAGTGAATGCAAAGTTTATTACCTACGTTTAAACTGCAAATTACAGCAAAAAGAAAAATTTTAGCGGTAATATCAAAGGGGTTCAAATAAATATATTGGCGGGCAGATTTGTTTTGGGTAGACCTTTTCCCAATCCACAACGAATCGAGACGTGGCCATGGCTCTCTTTGAGTGAAAGAAAAAGATAAAGAGAAATGTGGAGGGAAAAGAGAAAAATGAAAGGGAAAAAAGGGCCAAGAAGAAGAAAATAAAGAAAAGAGGGTGTGGAAAGAGAAAGGGGAAATGAGCAAGCTAAAGACTCTGGACTGGCAGAGAGCCAGACTGACCTCGGCAGAGAGGCAAGAGAAGGGTGTTCATAGTGCAGTAAACAAAAAACCTTGAATGTTTGGATTTGATTAGAAATTGAAAAGTGCAATTTTTTTGAACAGTTACAGTGCTGGTCAAGTGGTTTTTCTATGCAAAATACGTTTTCTAAAAGAAAACTCTTTAAAAGCTACCATAAGCTTAGCAAAGTTGGGATCTATGAAATTGAACATTGAATTACCCATAAAAACTCTCTCACCACTTTCATAAGATGTATTTTTGTCACGTGATAAGCATGCCCCCATCAAAATCTAAATTTTCAAGATCTTCAATCAAACTTATTATTCCACAAAATTCGGAAAATCCTTTTAATGTCACATTAAAAACAGACAGAAATGCACACAAAACAAACACAAAAATATCTCTGATCACAGGGTTAAATCGGAGAAAGGTATAACACTAGCGACCGATAATGCACAAGAATCGAAATTTCATCCACTAGTAGTAAAAAAAAGAAAATAATTGCATGTCAAAAACAACAAGAGATATGTTCCATATGAAGAAAGCTATTTTGAATCACACAAAATATTGAAGCTAAGGGAAATGTGTGGGCCTCAAAGAGGAGTAGTTTAGACTTGCAAGACTGTCACAAATTCGTCAAAAGCTACCAATATAAAAGCAAGGATGTGATTCTGATATATCAAAAAATTATCAGAAGAGTTGCATGATTTATAACTTAAAGCAAAATTGGGCCTAGAATATCAACTTGAACCTTATAGCAAGTTAAACGTACTAACATACCCTAGAGCTTTTATTCGTCGATCGTCTTTTCGGAGGAAAAAATTTGAATGAATGGAGCCGGATTCGAGTAGAGGAAAATCGAGAGAATGACGAGAGCCGCTCCAAGCATGAACATCAATGAGGGAACGAACTGAACAATCAAACCGAACCAAGTGTGGAGGAGGAGAATGGCAACCGAGGTGGCAAAGTTCTTGGCAATGTTGTCGGCGCATCTAAAGGAAAATATGTAAAAGTGTAGGTGATTATGGCGAATTAACCAAGCCAAAGTGGAGCTAAAAATTTTAAGACTGTAAGATTTGGGTTATTGATACGTACAACTTTATAAACTCTTCGAATCGCTTACTTGATGCAAACAGCTACCGAAAGTCCACCAATTCCATACCAGAATACGGTGAGCCAAACGATGAAATCGAATCCATAAAGCATCCCGTGCGCTCGAACGAAATCTCCATCCTCAAATTATATTGCTTAAAAACTAGCCAGCAGAAAAGCCAAACCTGCACGAGCACTGCAATCAGTGAAGCTGGAATAGCAAAAACACTCATTTGAACGTTGCGCATCCAAAGTGACACAGGGGCAGATCCTTGTGATCAAAGATTTTCAAGAAGAAAAACTAAATTTACCTTAAGAATCTTTTCGGAGTAGATTCCGGCAAATCTTGAGAGGCCACAAGCAAATGATCACAGCAGTGAAACCTAAAAATTATTAAATTAAAAACAACCTTAACAAAAACTCTACCAATTACAGGGCTTTGATCGTTTGAACTGTTTCCAACATTCGATGTCTGTGATTGAAACTAAAGAAACGCTGACAAAAGGACGAAGAGGTAACCCAAACTTTTTCATATTTTTTCTACCGGGTTTACTGTTATTAGTACTCACCCATTGTGCTTTGTCAAGACTCCGGCCCAACATGATCACCGAAAAGATTGCAGTCGTAAAGATTTTCATTTGAGATGTTATCTAAACGTTATCGTATAATACTTTTAAAACTTCACACGCGTTTCACCCTAAAATAGGTAATTCACGATAAAAGTTGCAGCATCCAAATGACTAGCGGCCACGTAAAACAAATTGTTTTGCACCTTGCAGATCATGGCCGGGATGCAGACCTGAAAAAAATAAGATAAACTAAAAACTGGCATTAAATTCTCTAATGTATCCCCAGGTTGATTAATGACTTGGCTGTTGGGCTGCAGAGAAGAACCTTAAATCAATACTTTAAAGTGTTAAACGGGTTGAATCTACTTTCTCGGCGTTTCTTCATATATCACCATCATTAGACACATCACGAGTTTGATAATCTAAAAAGCTACTTTGAATTTAATATTTCAACATTTTTTGTTTTACTTGCTAAAAGGTTTGTCTAATACCTCTGTTAAGAAAAACGGCTACCGCTGATGTGAACATCTCATCGACTTCTCTCGTTCTCGAGTATCTAAATCTTTAAATTAGTCTAGAAATTATAAAACGCAAATCTTTTTTACTCTATATCTAGCAATCAAATTTGAACTGATAAGTATAGAACCCAAATGTACCAACTCGTATCAACAAAGTGTGGATTGAGTTCTGTAGGGTGAGCCAAACGAGAATCGCCGTTCCATTTTCGTGTTCGCCTTCTCTCTGACCACCGTTCTATCAATCTAAAAAACATTAGTAACGGAATAAAGTTTATTGCAAACAGTATAATTTAAAAATCTAGCCACCTGAAAAACACAGAATTTTTGTAAAAGAGAAACTTTGCTTTAAGGAAAAATCACGAATCTAGAGGAAAAATCGGAATGGATCCAGGTTTCGAATCTAAAGGAGGCATTCCTTTCACTCGAAAGATCCCGAAAAAAGATAGTGATGGTCATCGAGATAATGAAGAAACAAACCGATGAATTTTAATGCATAGTCATTTAGACGTTTTCTCCTTGCTAATTTTGCCATTGGCTTTAAATGGCTTTTCTAAAATATCATAACAACTGTACAGTCAAAGCCATGACATCGATTTATTGGGACAACCTATTTTGAGTTTTTATTACTACATTGAACTGTAATGAAGAACTAGAATTTGAAAAGCAAGAAAATTCTCATTTTCAAAAACGAACAAGCTTCTGTTTTTCTACTTTCTCGTGGGCTCTTCTACGAAACTTCTCCGTAACGTTTATACCTTTCAATCCATTACAGAGAAATTCAACTGGATTTATCCCTACCTGTAATTAAAGAGCATGTACTTCTATTTTCTCTCTATCCTTTTCGGACTCCCCGAAAATTCACATAAGCAGGGACCACATAAAAAAATTTTTAAAAATCTTTTAAAACGTTTATATAACGTTTACATCTTTCAATATGTTACAGAGAAGTTCAACTGGATTTATCCCTATCTATGCCCAATTTTCTCACTAACCGGTATTTTGACGGGGCGATTGCTGTTGTCCGGCTCATTGTGGAGAAGAGGTTGCACGTCTTCATCGTCCCCTCTTGTGCCCATCCTTCAGTGATCGTGTTGTTGGGGATGTCGAATGTGGAGACCGGACGATCGACTCCTCCTTCTAAATAGGATAGTAATAAGATCTTAAACATTGGAAATGCGTCAAATGCAAAAATTAGGTTAAAAGATCAAATTTATGAAACATTTAGATCGTTATCGTGGAGAGGAAAGAAAGTGGGGAACACCAATAGAAATTTTGTAACCCATTTTTCATAGCTAGACCAAAAAAAACGATGAAGCATCAAAAATGGAGAATCAAAATTTAATAATTGTGGCAAAGTGTGGGAAGCAATAGAAAGCGGTGAAAATCCGTCAAAACGTGGCCCCTTGATCGGAATTTTTCACAAGCATCACCGTGTCTGTGTAAACAGCCAAATGGAATTAACACTTTGCGTCGGATTTCAACGTCAACAATGCCAAAAACAGAAAAATATTGGTCATAGATCGACAGAAAAAGTATCATGCTGTAAAAAGAGGTAATTGTGTTAGCGGTTTTGTTAAAACAACAACAGTAACCAGACTATTTGGGATGCATTGCCAATTTTAAACAAGCTAAACAAACATTAAGCAGTTAACACCGCCCGTGTTTGCCTAGCTTGTTTAAAAAGTTCTAAAAAATTAAGCTGTTAACACCTTCAATGAAAATCAATAATTCCCCGAATCAATTCGAGATCAACGGAACAATTTTCGTTACTCATCGAAACATTTTCGCAAAAACCAATATGTTATGAGGCGGCCTCAAAAATTGCCACGTTTTCTCTGCTTCTGCCTTCTTTTGCTTTGCAACGTGTGAGAGAGGGGAAAAAGGCGCGATGAAAGAGGCGCGGATCACATAAAGATTCCATTCGAAAAGTTGGGGACATTCACAAACTTTTTATTGCAAACTCCACCCAAAATCATTCACATTCGTTTTTCTTTTAACCATCATGGTATTCGTCAAAAACAAATTGCTTTTAAAACTTTCTACTCCAGATATCTAATGTTCAAACTGCATTCTTTCGTTACTAAAAAGTGAAAATATATTTATCTGAACTCTGGAAAAAATAAATTAGTAAAACGATGAACAAGTCAATCCGTGCAAACTGTAAGACTGATCAAACAGGAGAGAGTAGTGAAAGAGCCTATTTCGGGAGCAATCAGGGTATGCTGAAAGGCCAATGTTGCAAAAATAAACACTAACAACACGGAAACAGAAGCCAAAATGAAAAGAATTTTCAAAAACCCTAGCTTATCACAATCGAAGCGAACCGGAAGGCAAAAAAGGTAGCACATGTAGGAATTATCCTTGGGAAAAGTTTCTTCAACGATATGAACGAAAAGGCCGCACTTAAACACCAGAATCATTTGGGCACTAAGAAAAAAAACAAGCCAGTAACACAAATTTGAACACTTTAAAAAATGTAATGCTCTTTTTAGATTTTTGGATACACCACTCTTTAAAAACTACCCGTGTAATTTGCGACCCCGAGAATCATGACACACAGCCACTCTAGGGTGGAAAAGAGAACCCGACATAAAGCCAAAAAAAAGAAAGAAATTTGAAAGTTCACAAAATACATAGAAATCTCAAAAGTAAAAATGTGACTAACTACAAACACAAAAATGTCACCCTCATCAACTGTGTTATTGTTGCTGTTGTTTCAATGGAGCGTAGAAGGCGATCAAGCTTTTGTCCAAATCTCGACCCTTCATCGTAGTAAGCAATGTGTGTAGGTTCTACAAAAGCATATAAAAATGAAAAAACATTTTCTTACCCTATTCATTTCCTCGGGCATCAGACCAGCAACAATAGTATCAAATTGGGGAGTGGCTGCTGCTCGCATTGCTAGTAGTCCAATTGAGCATTCGTGAACTACCTAAATAATTAATAGTATTAACCTTATTAATCAAAGCAATGCTAAAGTTAATATCGATATCTAACAATGTAGCACCAATAGACTTGAGATTCTTCATATTTTAAACACAAACCAATTGACTGCTTGCATCTGTTGAAGAGATGTGCGGAAGAGCCGGAACTTCTAATATCGTTCTTATCCCGATTTCAAACCAGCGTCCTCCATTTTGCTAAATCTTCTCTATACAAAAAAAAAAACAAATCAACCATTACCGTTACGCTGAGAACCGCACACTTGCTTAGGCTCATAATGCACGCCTTTTGAACTGCAGAATCGGCTAAGAACGAGAGCTGACGAGCGGCTTCAACAATCATATCAGATGCAGCTCCTAAAGTTAAATGCCGGTGGAAAAACATCTACCAATTTACCTGGAGCAAGATCAGTCAGTGTCTCACTGGAGACGACGCTGTACAAGAATTGTCCGAATGCCCGTTGACAATACAGCTAAACAAATGATATGAATGTAAAGCCTAAGTTCAACTAACCAAAGCTCTCTTATTGGCTTCATCTTGTGGAAGTTTTGACTGCGTTTCTGGGTCGGCCGAGAATCGGGCCGCATTTGTCAATATCATCCCAAAATCAACACCGGACTTCAAAACGGCTTTCTAAAAGTTAACAATAAATTGGGTAAATCAGCTAGAACGACTTGAAAAAAATCAACTTACCCCATGCTTTGAAACAATTTGATGACAAAGAATCAACAAGTGTTGCATTGAGTCTAAATCTTGACTGCACTCCCCAAGTTTTCCCAAAACACTTGGCAGTAGAACAAGCATCTAAAGATTTAACATTTTTAACATTTCTTAGCAAGATTTTTACCAACCTCTTGTTCTATGCACACTACTAAACGATGGGTAAGTTGGCGAACACTTTCTAGCAAGAAGACGTTGGTCGGAGACAAAGCTTCCAAGAAAAGCTAAATTAATAGTTAAGTGTAAATTCGTTCAATAAAAAAAAATACCGTAAGTAGCTTCATGAATAGATCAGAGCATGAATGAGCAACCATTGTTACCTCTTTTGAAAAGGCCTTTGACAAACGACTGAATATGGTTCTATCAAAGACTGACACCTTTACACACAAACCTTGCATGAGTAACAATGGCTGAAAGTGATTGCATCATTTGTTCCGTTGCTGCCTTATCGCGTCTTGCTCGCGTAGCCGCTAATTCGACCAAGCCTTGTTGAAAACGGGAAGCTATTGTTGTTGCGAGTTCTTCAAGAAATTGCCGCTAAACTTACAAGGTTTCTTCAATGTAATCTTTAAAACTTACTTTTTGCGCGGGTTCTAGATTTCCAAAGATTATGAGCGTTGCTGTTACTTCAAATAAAAATCCTTGGTCATCTTCAGAAAGACCAGTTGAGCCAGGTGCAAGAAGTGGAGCGATTCGAGGAACAATCTAAAATGGGATGTACTCAATAAAAGAGAAGAGATTACTTACTTGAGAAACCAGAGGGTTGAGGGCCTGCTTTTGAGCTTTGACAAAACGAACAAACAGGTATACGACCCGGGTTCGAACCTAAACGCATACATGATTGCAAATACACAAAAGAACAAACCTTTTCATTCGGAAAGCTAACTCCTCTTTCATCTAAAAATGCTTCTGTCACAATTGGGACAATTTTATCTGGAGATGTGCCCACAATCTTTTCATATCTAAAAGTCAAGTGAACAAATATTTAACCAAATACCAACCTGCAAGCATTTTCGAAGTACTGTATGTGAACTTGTGCAGAACGGCCATCAAGAGGTATCGCTTGCACTAAAACATATATAGGTCTTGCATACATTTAATGCACTTACATAAAGCCAAGGGTAGTTGCGTGGCACGAACAAGCCATACGTCTTTTTCCTTTGTTTGTTGAGTGAAAGTAGACTAAAATTTTTACATCCCTCCTGTAAGTTTGAAATGTCAAACCGGTATCATCTCAGAAAGCGCGTAGACCAATTGTACTACTGATTCCACCAAACGAATATTGCTCGCTGTACCAGCCAAAAGTACTTGTGACACCATTTGCTCAATAGGCTCGACGACCAATTGCACACGCTAAAATAATTGTTTTATTCGGACATCGAAAAACTAATTCTAGTTCTTGATTTAAACAACCACTTTTGTTCCAATTGGGTTGATAAGTTGTCGTAGTTGCTTGCGATAATCATGAAAGTGAATTTCATCTTCGCCCTCTCCATCTGGATTCAACTCCGAGGGCATTGTATAACGCCTGAGTGCCGTATTGACTATTTGAGCCATTGTAGCGACGTGTTCCTAGAACATGGTAATTGGCTTCGATTTGATCCACAAACCTGTTCAGCACTAGAGCGAATAAGCATCACATAGACCCTTAAGAAATCGATCACAATCTAAAAAAAAGCTGCAACTTTATTAAGCGAGGGATTCTTACCTCACTAATTTCAGGATTTTCATCATTAAGCAAACGAAGAGCAATTGGGATAAGTTGTCTGACCAAAGTTAGAGCATGGATAGCTTCAGCCGTTGTTCCACCTTCCTTCTCAATTCTAAATGGTGGAACTATTTTCCAAAGTTTGAAATGTGTCTTTGATGTTAGCCTTCAAGGTAATTCACCACACTTTTTCTCGCAAGCAAATGGATCTTTTATGACTCAGCGAAAAAGGCTTGCCAAACCAGATCAAACGACTATTCAAAGAGAGGGAATCCCCCAAGGCAATACAAAATAGCTAATACACTGTGCGAAAACAGAAAGCAAACCCAAACTTTCACTGTGTGCAACGTCTGTTCAAAAATGAAAATGTTTTCCTTTATTATTGGCTTGCTATTACTACTATCCATAGCTACAGCTCAATTTTCTCCATGTGACTCATTAATTTGTGATTTCCCAAAACAATGCAAAGTCGAAAAGGAGGTAATTTTTCTAGATTGGTAAAATTTTACAGAATTCAGGTTGCGCAATGTGTCCTAGCAGAAAATCCTTTATCAAGTATTTCAAACTTATTTGGTTCAGCACTCGGTCAAGGAAATCATATCGACAAAACGGTGAGTTTCCATCAGTTGTAAGGGAACGGATTAAGCATTTAGGAAGGCCCAACATTTCCCACGACTGAGTTAGTTACAACGTCAGCTCCACAATGGTTAACGACAGAAGCCACCACCACTGGGCTATTTGGCGGACTATTTGGTCAAACTGGTGCTGCAGGATCAAACGACCCATTTGGATCTATTCTGAAGCTTTTGAAGTATCCCCAAAAACTTTTTCTACTCAAATTTTAAGTTTTAGTCTTACTCCTCCACCACCAATCGTTGAAACCACACAAAAGCCTTTTATCACCCCCGTAGCTCAAGCTCAAACCAGCCCAACAACAACTGCACCTCCCGAGCCCGATGTCTGTATTCTGCCACCATTAACAGGAAATTGTGGCAGGGCGAGAATTATGTGGTGAGTGAGATATATTGACTATGCAAAAATTATTCAGGTACTATGACAACGAGACTCGAACTTGCGAACGATTTTCCTTTAGCGGCTGCGGAAACTCGAACCGATTTGAAAGCCGGAAAGCCTGCGAGAAAAAGTGCCTCACAAGAAAAAACTTCCATAGATTGTGAATAAAGATTTGAAACTGACTGTGAGTTGACAATGATCAATTGATGTCCGATCAAGGCAATAAGATTTCCAATTCTATCCAAATCATCTTCATCACTATCCTAAAAACAAAGTTTAATTGGTGAAATCAAGTAACGGGTGCAAAACTACATCTTATTAACAAAGAGAATCCTAACCTCTTTAACTTCGATGAGGCTGTTAGATTTGATGACTTCCAGCAAAGCAGAAGTGAGTGACAGTTTCTTCTGAGCAGGCATACCCTTTTGCACAAGTCCTTCAACAGCTCTTACTGCTGCCTAAAGCAACTTTTTAAACAGTACAAATATTTTTAAAAAATACCTCTGAAGATTCGTTATTTGACAACCCTTTAATCAAAAGTGGCACGAATCGTTCAGTAGCGACCAGTTCCAAATCAATCCAATCAATGTATGCAGCAACAACATCGAAGACTAATGAATGATCGGCAGAAAGGTTTGGATTTTCCTATAAACTAAGGTTTAAAATATTTATCGTGTTTGAGGATTCACCAGAATTTGCCACCAACTTTCCGCGCAGTCTTTGATGCAGAGTTCTCGCATAGCATCCTTGATTTTCGTGTTTCTATCAAAAAGCTAAAAGAAAGGAATTAAACTTTATTAAAGTCAATCACATACCTCTTTGCTACGCTCAATATCTCGGTCCACAACCTCTTGGTCAATTGAAATCAGAGTTTTTAGGTAGAAATGAACATTTGATTGATGGGGAAAACCTCTGAAAGAAAATGGAAGGTAAAACTTTGATAGCCAATAATTTCTTACCTCTCTAGGAACACTTCTTGCATAAAGCGAGGCCAGCGTAGGGGAAAATCGACAGAAAATACGATCGAAAATATATGACCCATCTTGTTGATGAGAAATGAGGGCACAAAAGTTCCAGAAGCCTTGAAAATAACAATGTTTGCATTAAAATAACAAGCCACACACCAATTTTTGCATCCAGTTCCTGAGGAAAGTTCGAATTATCTCTATTTCTTCGATCGTGGCCTGAGAGTATCGTTTTCGCAAGTAATCCTCTACGACTTGCAGCAAGAGAAAATGCTCCTCATGGTTTCTAAAAAAAATAGCAAATAGCTTCTTATTTCCAATTTCCAACCTTATAAGATTGCCGACGATGTTTTCGACAGACCGACGCCAGCCAGCATTGTCTTTCTTGAGATTCTCCAAGTACGAGTAGACCTAAATCAAAAAGTAATTGAAGTGTCACAAGTCCTTCTCATATTTTAATCTAACAAAAAAAGAAAACAAAAGCTCACTTCATTTTGCTTCGTTGGGTCGGTGAGTACGGGACAATCTAGGGCATTCGTCCCATCGACAGTCTTCATCGTCATTGTCATAAGCGTTTGATTCTTCACAAGTTCGTGAGCACTCCTCAATTAACGGGAGATCATACGCCGATTTCGAAAGAGTGAATTTCGTTCAATCTAAAATAGAAAAGGTGACATCCAAAATTTCGAAAAAACATTTTCGAAAACATTAAAACGATAAGGGAGTTCAAAGGTTCAATTTTCAAACCGCATAGATGTACGAGTGCGACCAAAATTTTGGTTGCAATGGGTAAGTTCGCAGAAAGGAAATTAGTCAGCTGATCGGTGGTATAAATTCGCGGCAATGATGATAAATTGTGCAATATAGCCGGCGAAAGTCTGATGCAAGAAGCCTCCACCTACCCAAAACAACCAACAAACTCCCAACACAAAAACGGGAGTGGCGTCTCGCCGCGAATGGTGATGCAGTAGGAAAAAGCGGCGGATTTTCTCCGCGGAAAAAGGGAAAGAGGGGGTTTTTCATTACGAGAATTTGAGAGAAGTTCGGGGAAAATTATTGTAAACCAAACTGATAAAAAGCGATTAAAACGTTTTCCACCCGGATATTGATTTGTATGAGCTGACGGGTCAAGCGCTGGAACGTTGCTTGGTCTGCAATACCTAGAACCAGGGGTTTAAAGAAGATAGCAATTCATAGTCACAAGAAGAGGCACCCGTTTAAAGTTACAAAGTAAAAAAAAACTAAAACAAGAGAGTTTCTTAAATAGTTATAAAACGACCAAGTCAAAGATGTTCAGCAAAACAACTGTGTATATCCACAAAAATTGTCGAACCGGGATACGGTAGCTCTCGAGTATAAAAGCTGAGAAAAGTCCCAATATTTCACTCGCAAGAGAGTATTCGTAAAGGATTTTTCCACGGTGGAGTGGCTTGCCGATACATTTCTATGTGGTGGTTGAAGGGTTGAATGTGAGAAGTGACGGTGAAATTATGGCTTTAGAGTGAAAGACCTCTACTTCTCATTCCAGATAAAATTTACAAACATTGAACAAAGTGATGTATAGCCATCTTTTGTCTAGAGTATACGTTTAGCTGTTTCAAAGGTTCACTAACATCGTTGACACTCCCCGAAAATGTTTTGATGAATCGAAGCATTCTCTGATTATGAATCACGCCAAGACATTTGTCCTTTTTCATTGTTGTTTTCCTATTATGACTTTAAGCTTTTATTTTAGAAACGTAAAAACATCGGATGGACGCATTCAGCGAAAAGAGACAAGTAAATTTTGTCGGTTTGAAATAGAAAAATAGTACTTTAGAAAATCAGCTTGAGTGCTAAACCGACTGGATTCGACACATTGCGCTCACGGTGGGAGGTAATACTTTGATTGACATTATTCGTGAAAATTCCGTGGTTGCTTTTTTAAATATTGAATTTAGTTGTCTTCAAAAACTGGCACGCCTCTACACCCTGACGCTACAGAGGATGAGCTGCTGGAAGTGGCTAAACAAATCTCGAACACAAAAGTCTCGGAAAGAAGAAGCATTGTGAGCAAGGTTTGCAAACTGCAAATGTCTATGCCATTTAAAAGTCAATGCTTTAGTTTACGTCTATGCCACATATTGTAATCGATACATCTTCCTGCCAAGAATTACGTCTAGATCTACAAGCCTCAATAACGAAAGGTCATACTCGGCATAGTTACCATGTAAGCCTTTTAACGAACACTTTATTATCCAGTGTTTTGGTCAAGGTCCTACTATAGCTATAGTTATGAAGAAGCTCTTGAAAATGAAAATGGCTATGGAGATGTGTTTGAAAAAGAAGTCAGTCATTTGCCTTCATCAAATGGAAGCAGAGGAATGCTTAACGGCATGGATTTCGATGATAAAGTTTGCCTATTGAAATTTCGTTATAAAGTTTTTTTAGGTCTTTTGACTGTATCAATGCTCCTAAACATCAATCAAAAAGCTTTTTGGAGGAAAACAATCGACCGAGTGCATCGACGTTGAGTTTAGCTCCATCTACTTTGCCAGATCCGGACGAAGTCAATGTGACCATGGAAGGACCAGTCAGCGAAGAGGTATAAATCATTCATTTTTATTATAACAGATTTAGCAGTTTACTCCCGAATCTCCGCAGACAACTTCAGATTCCTATTCATTCAAACATCGAGACGTTATCAATTTCAGAAAATGACCCTGCATTGGTGAGTTTTCAATAGAATTAGCCTAAAACTTCTATCTGTTTTAGGCTCATTCACTATCGTTTTATCGAAAACAACGTCAGGGAAAGGAAAAGAAGAAGGCTGAAGTCATTGTTATAAAATCACCGCCCACACCGCCAAAAGTATTTTAAGAATGTTCATGTTTTACGTGTTGTTTTAAGAAAATTGAACCAGAACCGGAAGTTGTTGAATTGCAAGTAGAACGGAACAAACAAATGGAAAGAGTCATGGTAGGCTTTGCGCCTGTTTTCTAGACTAATTTTCTAAGGCTCAACTTCGGCAAGCGATAGCAGTTGAAGATCAGCATATTCATCAAGCTTCTCGAGCTTTGGTGTATTGTCGGCAGTCTGGACAGTTCTGTGGAAGCCGTCAGGAAGTCGAAGGTAGTTAATTGGCGTAATTGTTGTAAAGTTGCTAAATATGCATTTGTTTTTTGTAGGCCATACTTCACCCGGTTTTCTCTTTTAGTGAAATTAAATAATTTTAGGTCAACGTGCCCTTCTTGTTGCAACAGAAACCCGGAACGTGTTGGTCGGTGAACTTGAGCGAATAAATCGCCAAGAGCCTGACGCTTCCGTTCTTCCACGCGGAATGCTGCAATTTTCTCGATTCAGACTCTTTCTCTCAAAGAACTTTTTGAAGGGATATGTGAATCATTATGATGGTATTATTTAATATTTAGAATAACTTTACTTTTCTTTAGACTTAAACATCACTTACTACTTTATAATCCTGCTCAAATGTGGCTCAACTTTACTTCATACAGCTCTGCTCTCTACTGAAGATGGAATTCAAGCGGCAAGCGATATTTTTGTCAATAAGTAGTGTTTAAATTATATGTTTAGGATGGCGCTATTGAATACAATCAATACTTAAAGATTGAGAACATTTGTTCGGATTTTGATTGTCTTTTAGAAGTTTATGCTTTGGTGAGACAAAACACTTTAATTATTTTGCAAAATGCCGATTTTAGCGCTCGAGCAAACGTTATGAACAGAAACGAAAAAAGAGCGGATCCATGAAAGGCCTCAACGCGGCTTTTTCATTTTCTACAAAATCGCCGAAGACTCCCAAAAAGACACCATCTGGCAATCGCATCCTGGATTCGAAATTTCATTTGGGTAAATGAGTCGTTATAATTTTATCTAATTTGGTTCTTTTAGTTGGGAATCTCTACCTGAACATGGAAAATGTGGATAACGGTGAATTTCATCTGAATGAGCCTCAACATCCCTTAGAGGGAACGCTACAAATCACCGTCAAAAATATTCTATCTAGCCGCATCGCTTTACTGCTCATGTTTCATTCATTTTCATAACTCAATTATGTTGTTTGTTGCTGAAATTAATAAAAATTCGTAAATTTTGACTGTGACTTTTTCGAGTATTAGGTAAAAGGATTGAGCATTTAATTCCAGGTCATAGCAAACGACTTCCTATTGCGGAAAAGATTGCTTTAATAGAATGAATGATGTTCAAGTAAAGGGGAAGTCTTAGTCTTACATTTAGATGCGATCTCATTGAGAAGAGACCGAGACACGTCGACATTCAATTAGTTGAGTGAGTACGCACGACTGGAATAAGAATAAGGGGAAAAGAGGTGACTTATTGATACACAGGGAATTGTTTTGCTATTAGTTTGGCATAAATTCCCGGTTTAATTGGCATCGATACTTTTTAGGCTCTACTAATTCTCTTGATTTTCTACACTTGACTTTCAGATATATGAAAGGCTTTTTCACTATATTTTCACTATTATGAACTTTCAAAGTTATGAATGCATCAAATTTGCTGAAGTTTAAATATTTTTGATAAGCGTTTGAGACTCGGAAAGCTTTCCGGGATTAACTTCGCTTTTGAGAGGAAGGGGAGAAATGTTTTTTTTGTGGAGGCTAATTTGGCCGTCAACTTCCCACCCGTTTTTTGGCGGAGCTTTTGAGTTGGAGGCCGAAGAAAAGGCTTTTTGACAGAATAAGAACATCGTGATGAGTATCTTGTGTGCATGGGAGAGAAAGAAAGAAGCTTTCATTTCTTGAAGCAGTAAATTTCCCTTCCCATTTGCTGTGTGAATGTTTTTTGCTTCATGTTTGAATGAGATCAAAATTTCGGGTTTTAAACATTTCGAAAACCAGCCTACCTTTGATAGCTCACACTTTGAACTCCAGAGCATTGTTTAGCAGCTAAACCTTTGATAAACTTGATTTTTATTCAATTATTTACTTAACGAAAAAAGAACATTGAGAAATTGACGAGAAAGTCGGCTTTTTGGAGTTTCGTGTACCATTTGTTTAACTTTATACTTTGAACAAAATTACCTTCACTTGTGCTTTTGAGAAAAAGAACTCACGAAAGATTTGGCTATTTAACGCAAAAATTTTTTTTTTTTGCGTCTATGATTTTGTTTTTGATTTTGATAAAAACAGCTCAAAGTTTTGAAACTAGAGTCAGCTTTTTGGAGTTTCGTGTACCATTTGTTTAACTTTATACTTTGAACAAAAACAAAAAGCCATCGTAAGACCTGTAGTACCGTAAGAAGGATACCGTAAAGCCTGGTACCGTAAAACGCCAACTACCGTAATACCCGTTGGTTTTAACGTAAGAGTATTTGTTAATATGTTAATAAAAACAGCACAAACTTTTTGAAACTAGAGTCGGCTTTTTGGAGTTTCGTGTACCATTTGTTTAACTTTATACTTTGAACATCAGGAAAAAAAGCTATCGTAAGACCTGTAGGACCGTAAGAAGGATACCGTAAAGCCTGCTACCATAAAACGCCAAGTTACCGTAATACCCGTTGGTTTAAAGAGTATTTGTTCCCAAAGTTTACCAAGCTACCAAGCTACCGTAAGACCTATAGAACCGTACTTGTTCAAGGCTTACTGTAAGAGTTGGATACTGTAAAAAAAAAACTAAACTACCGAAATGCCCAGGCTTTTTTGAAGCAAGAGAATTTGTTATTCAAAGTTTGTAAATCCTTTTGAAATCCTTTCAAAAACCGTCTTACTTTCAGTTTTGTTGCATTGAGCAATTTTCAAAACATGTTGCAACCCCGAATGTTGTATTGAGCAATTTTAAAAACAAAAAAAAAACCATTGTAATTTTCAGAAATCATTTACTTTCTAAATGATGTCAAATTTCTTTCTTTTCCTCTTCGCCCATTTCCCTTCACCTAATTAGCAAGAGGGGGGAAATGGATGATTCGATGACATGGAAATGAGTGTGGAAATGAGTGTGGAAAAGAGAGAACGGGAAACCCACAACAAACCAATAAATTTGCATTTCTCATTCGATTCCAACTTTTTATGTTCCTCGGAAAAGTATTTGAAACTTCGAATGACTTCGAAAACTTTTTTCTTTTGGAGATCTCTTCGAATATGTTTTCAAGACAAACTTTTATGTTGATGCTTAAAATTTTCTCATCAACAGGGCCGTTTTTTAAGGGCGAAATTTTCATTTCATCCTTGCTTTTGAGTTTCACATTTTTGCAGGTCATCATTGAAATAGTATTGCAATAATTTTGCAATACTTTTGAGTTCCCTTTCAGCTTCTCTATGAGCTTCAAATTCTCTATTCAAATATCAAATATCTCACTGCCGGGTTGTTCTAATCGAGCCTTAAGCCTACAGGCTTAGGACTGACTTCTGGACATACCTTGCCTGTCTGACCAGACCTGGCAATGAAATCTTGACCTGAAAATCAAGACAAAACGTTTTTTTGACTGCTGAACACGATGGTGAAATCGGTTTTTGCGAATGAGTAGTAGTTTTTTTTGCAAATCTTAGAACATTTCAGGAATAAAGCTCTTAAAGACGGCATATCAAAAGTGTCGCCATGACGTGGTGGGTAAAAATATTGCTTTTCTATATGTTTTTGTAGCTTTTCTTCTATCGTAGCTTCAGCATTAGACAAACTTTTTATCAGGTGATCTCGGGGCGGATCTCAAAATTCCCAAAAATCCCAAGAGATTTTGCAAAAAACCCTTTTCAGAGTGATACGCTTCAGATTGCGGCGAAGATATGCGTAAAATTAAGTGTCATTTTTTCGGAACTCCATTCAAAAATGTTGTTTTTCTTTTGAGAAATCATAAAGCTTCTTTTCGCTTAAAGCTTAAGCTTTGCTTGAGGGAAACTTTCTCGAAAACTTTCCCCATTTCTTTGGTGATTAAATGCACATCGAAAAGAGCATTGAGTAACAATTTTCGTCTCAAAAACCTCGTACTTGAGTTTTTATGGGTTTTGATTTGAATTTAGAATCGAAAAGTTTAAATGAAATGAATCCGAGTTTCGAGTTTAATCTATGAATAGCTCTAATCTATGAATAGCTCTAATCTATCAATAGCTCTAATCCATCAATAGCTCTAATCCATCAATAGCTCTAATCTATGAATAGCTCTAATCTATCAATAGCTCTAATCCATCAATAGCTCTAATCCATCAATAGCTCTAATCTATGAATAGCTCTAATCTATCAATAACTCTAATCCATCAATAACTCTAATCCATCAATAGCTCTAATCCATCAATAGCTCTAATCTATCAATAGCTCTAATCTATCAATAGCTCTAATCAATTTTGAAAATTTTTCCCTTTTGGCTTTATTGGCTTTATTGTATTAGTGCAAATGCATTCACATTAAAAAATAAAAAATTTATTGAAAACCAATAATGTGATACAAAAAAAGGATACATAATAAGAAATAAAGGTCTAAACACACAATTTTATGGCATTGCGGCCAATTACTCCTATTACCCCTATTACTCGAAATGTTGTAAAAGAAAAAAGAACCCATTTGGATGAGAAAAGAAACATTTTTTATCTTGCCAGCGTGATTGAACCTTTGAGCTTCCGCTTAAGAGACAAGACTCCTAATTGCTTTAAAAACAATGTAAGAAGCATAACCACGAGTAGAATCGGTCAGCAATCTGACTCTATTAATGCTTAAGTTTCCTCGAAAATGGGAAATCAAGTGCGCCAGGAGGGGTGTGCTTCTCCAAATTCTCAAATTTCTCCAAATTCTCTCAAATTGATAATTTCAAAGTTTTCGAGCCATTTTCAATATTTTATATTTTCAATCCGTTTCTTGATCTCGCGCAAATCCCACACGGATTCCCAGGGAAATTCCCTGAAAATGCCTCTTTTTTTTGGGGCTCTTTACCGTCTCTCGACTTCTCTTCACTTTGAAACAAATACTTCTCGAATTTCCCCACAATAAGTTTAAATAATTTAGTGGGATTTTTCTCAAAAAATCTCGAAAATTCCTTTTGAAATCGGATTCTTTAGAATCTTTTATTTGTGGCAAAATTCGGCCCACGATTTTTGCTCGTTTACGTCAAGAGTTTTCAGGCTAATTTTGGGTTTTTCGAATTCGAAACAACAAATGGATATTTATGAATCGTAAAAGAAGAAAAAGATCATAGAAATTTTGAAAGTCTTTGAAAGATTTTGAAAGATTTTGAAAGTCGAAATTACCGTTAGTGAGTCTTTGAAAGGAAACCTTGAAAGGAAACATTGAAAGGAAACATTCGAAGGAAACATTCGAAGGAAACATTGAAAAAAATCATTGAAACAAATCATTGAAAGAAATCATTGAAAGAAAGATCACCGAATTCCGAATAAATCCTGTAAACGCATCTCGTTTCGCGTTGCTCAATTTTCAGCATTAACTTTCTACTCATTCTTTAGTATCTCAGGCTGTAAAATCGAAATTACCATTTCTAGTTTTAAGCCAAAAAACTTCCGCTTGAATTGTTTCCATTTAAAAGATCACCGGAATTCCGAATAAATCCTGTAAACACATTGAATTGTTTCCATTTAAAACCTAATCCCATATTTCAATCTACAGTAATCTTCACAAGTGAATAAAACCAAAAATATCTTTACTTAATCTTACAATCCATTCCCCTAATTGTGGAAATTTCTAAAATAAAACAAAAAAAATGGAAATCCAGAAAATAAAGCAAAATTTCCTCGTTCCCAGAAAGCTTTGGTTAATTTGTTTCTTGATTTCACGATAAGATTTGCTTCAGTAAGAAGAATTCCCATTTCTTCGCACTAATGAACAAATTTTAGCATTTTTTTGAAAATCCCCAGTGGTTAGGGTCATTTGTGAGATTTTAAATCAAAAATCAGATAAAAAAATCAAATTAAATCAAAAAATTATATGGCTCTCTAGGGATTCGAGTAACCATTTGGCTTGACCTCAGAATACAGCAAAGGTATGGGTTCTTTTTGAATGTTTTACAATGGAGAAAAGTTGGCTCAGCTTCGTTGGACAAGCCGGTTGGGGCTGGGATAGCAAAAGAGTCGCCGGGAGGATTCGAACCCGCGACCCCCTCACGACCGTGACCGCTTACCAGGCGAGCGCTCTACCAATGAGTCACACCGACAACGGATCGCTGCATCAGATTGAGGTGTAATTGAGGGGATCACTTTGCTGCCTCCCACAGTACCGCTAGTTCAAATTCAGGCTGATTGCTCTGAAAACCCAGAGAGAGAAACCGGAACCACTAAACTGTGCTAGTTTAGTGGTAGTTTAGTGGTTCCGGTTCCTCTCT